CTTTGCCTCACCTTTTGGCTGACTGCAACGAGGTATATTTATTATCTCAAATGATAATACTGCTGGACAAGTTGGATCGCAGAAAGAAATTTCCCTCATAGATATTTTGTTTTGTTTGGTAAGCTAATATGGTGGCTAGTCATTGAGGCATATTCACATGGAGTTGCAGATTTTCTTCAATGGAATAAAAGGTTATGATGAAAAAGAATTTTAAAAAAAAACAAACAAAGCTAACTAAATATAGAAGATAGAAAGATAGAAAGATTTAAAGAAAAACAAAATCTTATCCTATTTTCATACACTGTCTATTAGAGACACAAATAAAAGATATTAAACTAGTCATATACATTTGAACAAGGTGTATTATCTATTATTAAAATGCCTGTTTATTTATATTGTACCCACAATTGAATTCACAGAACCACAGAATTGTTAGAACTCACTAGTAAGCCATTTGGCTCATTGTGTCTGTACTAGCTGTATGAGCATTGTGACTTATGCCATTTGCCTAGCTTTTTCCCCACAACCCTGACTATTGTTTCTATTTACCTAATCACCTGATGTTCTCTTGAATACTTCAGTTGAACTTACCTCCACCATGCTTCCAGGTCTTGAATTCCGCACCCAAACTACTTGCTGTATGAAAAAGGTTTTCCCTGCATAGCATTTACTACTTCTGCAGACTACCTTATCTATGCCCTGCTGCTCTTCACCCTTTTCTGAGAGGGGATGTTTCTCCCTATGGACTTTGTTCAGCTCTCTCATGAAATTGGAAGCAATCAGATTTTCTTTTGTCCATCTTCTCCGCATAGGAAAACATTCCCATCTTCTGCACACAAGCAAATTGCTTCAATACAGAGAAGAGTTAGGTAAAGTGTGCTGACAGATGGCTTTGGAAGAAGAAATAGATATTTAAAGTAATAGATCAAAATAATGTGCAGGGACAGAGGAATCTGTCTGGTTCATATATATATAGGTATATGTAGACGGCAAGACATATTAACACAGTAATATGACATAAGACATAAGCTGCCTTTTACGTATGTTTGTCTGAAACTGAAAAATATCTACTTGAAATGCCTAAGCTGTATAGGTGACTTGTTCTCACTACAGAATTCACAAGGAATGCAGGTTGAGTTGTATCTCTAGGCATGTTTTCTATTCACTTATTCTACTGATCTTTGTTCCCTTCACATGAGAGCCCATTGGCAGTACAGGAACAAGTTATTGATGTACAGTTTGAAATCCCTTTTGATCCTTCCTATCAAAGCTAAAAGTTGGAAACCAGAAATAGTGTTGAGAAATATATCCCTCACATTTTTCATGAACAAAACAAAGGAGGCTTGAATGAAATTGTTGGAGAAACTCAGTAGGTCTGGCAGCATATGTGGAGAGAAAGCAGAGTTCACGATTTGAGTCCAGTGACTGTTCTTCAGAACTGATAGGTCTAGAAAACGTAAAAGTTATATTGGTGACAAGGCTGTGGGTTTTGGGGGGATGCTGGTGGCTGTTAAAGGGACAAGCAGATAGGTGGAGACTGAGCCCAGAGAGAGAGAGAAAGTAGGCAGACAAAGGGACAGTTGATTGTATGCCCGGAAGAAGAAAAGCTAGTTCTGAAGAAGAGTCACTGGACTCAAAATGTTAATCTGCTTCCTTTCCATAGATGCTGCCACACTTGCTGAGTATCTCTAGCAATTTCTGTTTTTGCTGATGAATAAAAACTGGATAGATTATAATGGGGGCGATGAGTGGGTGAAACTGGGTTGGTTACGCTGAAAGTGGTGCAAGTCATGACAGGATTGGGGTATGGAGCTGGAAGGTGGTGTTCAGACTCTAAAATTTTTGAACTCGGTATTGAGTCCTACAGGCTGCAGGCTCCCCAAGGAGAAGGTGAGATGTTGTTCCTCTAGTTTGCGCTGGAAACCCGGAGTCATTTTCACATACAGGACGTAGGTGTTCTGCAGAGTGGTTATCCAATCTGTGTTTCATCTCTCCAGAGACTGCATTGTGAGCAGTGGGAACAGTTGACTAGGTTGAAAGAAATGCAGGTAAATTGATGCTTCTCCTGGAGGGTCTGTCTGGGGCCTTGTATAGCAAGCAGGGAGAAGGTAAATGGGCAAATGTTCCACCTTCTGTGATTGCATGTGAAAGTGCCGTGGAGGTGTGAGGAATTGGGAGTAGAGGTGGAGTGGACTTTGGGGAAATAGTCTCTGCAGAATACTGACAAGGAACGATAGGGGAATATGTGTATCTCGTGGCATCCCGCTGGACCTGCCAGAACTGAGTTGTTTTCAGTAATATCAGGCGGCAGATCATGGTGGCTCTTTTCAGTATATCGTCTTGTATCACACTTATTGGACGCTTGTATCTCTTCTCACTTTTCCAAATTGTATGCTTATCTGCCAGATGTGGGTGGTATAATTTTAACAAAAATACCTTTTTATAAGGACTGGAGGACAGCCAAAATGGTACTGTTATTCAAGAAGGGAGCAAGAGATAAACCAAGAATCAATTGGCCACTCAGTTTAACTTTAGTGGTAGGAAAACTATTGGAAGCAGTTCCGAGGGACAGAATTAATCTACACTTGGAGAGGCAGGGATTAATTATGATCAGTCTGCATGGTTTTGTTAAGGGGAGGTCACGGTCTGACCAATTTGATTGATTGAATTTTTCAAAGAGGTAGCCAGGTGTGTAGATGAAGGCAATACATTTGACGCAATCTACTTGAACTTCGGCAAGGCTTTTGGGAAGGTCCTGCATGGAGGACAGATGGAAAATTAAGACTTCATGTGAGGGTAGTTGGAATCTGGAGCTTACTGGCTGTGAGGGTAATAGAGGCAAAAACCCTCATAACATTTTAATTAGTATTCAGATGTACACGAGATGCCAAGGCACACCAGGCTGTGGGCAAAGTGCTTAAATGGGATTAGAAGTTAGGTGGTTGTTTTTGACCAGTGTAGACTTGATGAGCTGGTGGGCCTTTTTCTATGTTGTAGACTCCCATGACTCAATGACTATAACTCTGTGATGGCATCGTCATGGCCATGGTTCAGATTTCTGAAGTTCTGTGGACATTTTTAACTTGTAATTCCAAAATGTGTATTCTGAAAGATGGCTGATGCAGCTGAAAGTGGCACCAGACATAAATTAAGTGGCTGTCTGGGAGAGAGCGAGAGAGAGAGAGAGCGCGAGAGAGAGCGCGAGAGAACGAGAGAGCGAGAATCATGGAATATCACACCTGTAGTTGCGAAGAGCACATCAAACAGTAGACCGTCAAAGGGGGAAGAGGCAAGTCAAAACAAAATGGACTGTGATCTCTTCAGACTACAAAAATAATGAGGGCCTGGGTTTAAGTGTTAGCATGCTGTGAAGAGTCATAGTCAAAGAATTGATCTCTAGTGCTGCAACTGAAGATCATCTCTCAATCTAAATGCAAGAAAGTAAGATAGCTGGCAGCTAGACAAAAGGACACTTCTGCCCTGAATACTGGAATTCAGTTCTGGCCAAAAAAAAATCAGAATGACAGAGTCTCAATCAATCCTCAAAACTTAGGGTTTTTTAACTGTCTGTTGAAATACCAACATCAGTAATAGCCTCTGCTGCCACGGCCGCAATGGTCAACTATCTGTTCTTCACTAATAATTCAGAAACTGTTTAGTATTTTTTTTTTCTCAACTTTTATGCTTTTGGACTCACCTGTTACTCTTAGTCTCTCTGTGTAAGTGTTGCAGATGTGTTTCTTCTCACATGGAAATTAATAATCCCATAGTTTAAGAAAACCTAGTTAACCATCTTTGAAAACCTGCATTCATTTGGGTCTGGGAGATGGGCTGGGTGAATAGGGAAGGGGAGTCAGTTCATTTCTCTTTACCTGGGAGTTTAACAATTTGGATTAATGAATTGGGGAACCTGGGTCTGATTGCAGTAACGAGTGAAAGGAACAGGCTGTGAGGATTCCATTTCCAGATATAACTTGTGTCAAAATATTCTGAAATGGATGGATGCACTCAATGGTACTGTTTTCAAAGAATACCTTTTTTAAAATCATGTAACGTTTAGAAATTAGGCAATATATATGTAAGTGATAAGTGATGAGTAACCATTGAAAACCATTGAGCACATTTTTATTCGTTAGTCAAGTTTTATATTTGGACACAAAACATGATACCTTTTTTGGGAAAAGTATTGAGCTGCTTTTTGTTTTAGCTGCAGTGCTAAATAATCTATGCAGAATCTAACATAAAGAATTCATAAAATCATACAGCATAGAAAAGACCCTTTGGCCTATTAAGTCTGCACTGACATAAAACTACTGTAAACCTACACTGGTCTTGCTTTTCAGCACTTGACCCATGAATGTTACGACATTTCAAGTGCTCGTCCCAGTACTTTTTAAAGGTTGTGAACTTTCCTGCCTCAATTACCTGCCCAGGCAATGCATTTTAGGTTCTTACCACCCTCTAGGTGAAAAGGTTTCTCCTCAAATCTCCTCTAAACCTCCTATCTTTCACGTTGAAGTTATGACCCCTTGTTATTGACCTTTCAACTAAGGGGAGCAGCTGCTTTCTATCCTCACTGTCCATGCGCTTCATAATCTTATATAGCTCAGTCAGGTCTCTGTCAGCTTTTTCTGCCTTAAAGAAATCAACCCGAGATTATCCAGCATTTTGTCATAGTGGACTGCTCCATCCAGGCAACATCCTGGTGAATCTTCTCTGCACCTCCTTCAGTGTAATCACATCCTTCCTAATGTACGGTGACCAGAACTGTACACTATACTTTAGTTGTGGGAAGCTGACACTCCAAAAAAAAATCACTAATTAACAAATACTCCAAATGAACAGAATTCTTTCTGATGGTTTGAAAAGTGCAGACATTGTGATATATTGGAAACAACCTTCAGCTCAATGTATTTCTTTCCACAAGATCAGCAACTTGTTCCACAAGAAAGCATGTCTGCTTTTCTTTTTAAATTCTGAAAATATTTTTTCTTTTTCAGAGAAACCTGACAGAGTATTTTGTAGCTGTAGATGTCAACAACATGCTCCATCTTTATGCTAGTATGTTGTATGAACGGCGAGTCCTCATCTCCTGCAGCAAACTAAGCACTGTAAGTAGTACTGACAGCAGCAACGCACAAACATATCAAACCTTCATAGCGCTGTCAGAGACTTTTTTTAAATGCAGTTATAGTAGTTATGTACATATGTAGTGTTTTTATATATGAAATATGCACTCAGGTTAATCAGGTTAAAACTGATGGAGGGATGGGGCCAGCTACCTCCTCATTTCCTGCCTAAAATAAAGGATATATTGAGGGCTGTATGACATTTAAGAAAATAAGAAGGTAGGAAAATGTAGTGGGGTTGTACTGTTGCTCAAGTTCCGCAGAATTCCAAGGTACAGAGAGATTTAATAGTTATAGTATGAGTCACAGAAAGCTAATATATAGGCACAGCGTATAATCGAGAAGGCTAATGGAATGCTATCCTTTATTAGAGGAGGAATTGAACCCAAAAATAAGTAAGTTATACTTCAGTTTCACAGGGCATTGGTAAGACTACATCTCAAGTACTGTGTGTGGTTTGTCTTTTTTAAGGAGGGAAGTAAACAAATTGAACAGAGTTCAGAGAAGGCTTACTAGATTTATATCTGGAATGTCTGGATTGTATTATGAGGATAATTTGGACAGGTTAGTCCTTCCACTGGAGTTTAAAAGAGTGAAGAGTGAATTGATTAAAGTGTATAAGATCGTGGATGGTCTTGACAAGGTAGATGTGGAGAGAATGTTTCCACTGGTGGGTCAGCCCAGAATTCAGGGGCACTGCTTTAAATTAGGGATCTGTGTTTCAGGAGAGAGGTGAGGAGATTTTCTTTTCCTCAGTGTTGTGCAATTTTGGAACACTCTGGTTCAGAAAGTGGTGGAGGTGGGGCCATTGAATACTTATAAGAAGAAGTGGATAGATTCTTGTTAGGCTGAGAAATACAGGGTTATTGGGGTTAGTTGGAATATGGAATTTGAAACACAATAGATCAGCCATAATCTTATTGAATGGCAGAGCAGGCCAGAGGGACTGAATGGTCTATGTCTGCTTCTATTTTGTATGTGTTTGTAAGCAAAAAAACTGATAGATTTCTCGTGTCCAGTAGCAACTGACTTACCCCAATTTCAAATATCACTTCCATCTGTCAAAAAATGGCACTAACCAAATGAACAATGCTGTTATGCTACTCACTTCTAAGTGGCTATTTAATGCCTGATTGTAAGTATAAGTGGCATCTATGTATGTATTAAAAATTAAACCAAAGGAACAAAAATATGGAGATTTGTCGCATGCATTCAGTCTAACCTCTGAGTTACCATGAAGAAGTGGTGATAATGTACCTTGTACAATTTATTGTTTAATGAGTGTCCATGAGCAAAACTTGTTGTCAGTGTTGTGATTCAATCATGCACACCAACCCTCTTCCCCCAACTGTTCCCTTGAAAAGTGTTTGCTTTTGCTTCATATCTCCCCAAAAGACTTGTGCTGGATTTACTTATGCCTCATATACACACCCTTCTATATCTGAACTGTTTCAGACATTTGTCAGGTCATCAGGCCACCTTAGTAAGTGAAATGTTTTATCTTTTGTTGTCTTGTTCTATGCAATGTCCATTTGAAGATATGATCGTATTGGGTCTTTGAATCATTTGTTATGTTAACACTTTTTAATTATTCTGAGTATCTATTATTTACATTATCCTGTTTTCAACATGCATTGGTGCTTTGCCTTACTGATCTTCAAGACTGGAATTGTAATCGAACTGTAACAAATCAGAACTCACTCAGTATTGAGCCAATGATTGCTGCTGGAGAATGAACTAGTTTACTTATTAACACTTTTCCCTTGTTACAAAGTCTAACAAACTAATATTGCTTTCTGTGGAAGGAGCATTTCAGGAGATTAGGTATTTGCATCAACGCAAGTTTAAAGATGCCATGATATATTATTGATTGTGTTTTTCAAAAAAAAAAACCAGTAATATGGATAACTGTATTCCCAATAGTCCTGAAGACAACAGAGGCAAAGTGAAAACCACCAATGCAAATGTCTGATACAGAAGGCTTTGTTTCTTTGGACTCCAGTTACAGCTGTGATCATGAACTTAACTTTTTGGGGAAATCTAAAGGTGCAAATTTCTTCTGCCGCTGAACAGTTCAGACTATAAGAGCCCACCTTTGAATATGCTATGTCAAGGAAGCTATTAGCCGCAGTGCACTTAGGCTAAAGTCACCTGTGCAACACCTCAAGCTGTTTTTATTTTTAAATATGTGTATGTGCCATATAAATGGAATTTGTTGAGGAAAAAAAAATTCCAAGTTCCTGTTCCTCTTGACACATGGACATGATCCCCTTGAAAAAAAGACAGCCAGGACAAAACTGAGTACTGTAATGGTCACTGCCTAACCAAATTAATCGCTACATCACACAATCAAGATACCAGTAACCATGGAATCCCAAAAGAAGTCAGCAGCTTTAGGAAAGACAATATGTAATTTTATTTAGAATGCACATCATATTCAATACTAAAACTTTAAACTTTCTATAATTTTCGCAGCGTAAAATATAGCCTCATTAGTCTATTGCTTTAATTTTTGAATTGATTTGTTTATTTTTAGCCCAGTATCCCTTCATATTGATAGAATCAGGACATATGGTTTTCTGTCATTTTTCATCTGTTAGGAAGTCCTTGAGCACTATTCTTCTACCTTGATGACATAAAGGACACTTATCAACTATGTTTACTTCATCTCCATCTGACACTGCTCAGGCTCAGTACTACTTAGGCTTCTATCAAGTACCAGAATGATGAAAGCTCTGAAAGATCGAAAAGCACTATCATTTTAAGATGGTTTCACATCAGTGAAATTATGGTCGTATTTCAGTTGCACTTCAGATACATACACTGAAAAATTGTTTCCCTTGTACTAATCAATAAGTTCTGATGTACTGCTGAACAAAGATTGACGCATTTTCCCATATTATAGGCTTTTGTAGTGTTAAAACATAATAGAATTTTCCCTTAGCTACCTAACAGCACAAAACATTTGTGCTACTTGTCAAGTAACTGAAACTATCCAGAAATAACATTTATCATGTTTTGGCCATTTGGTGTTACTTTCATTACATCTGATGCCATTTCACAAAATGAGCATTTTTTTAAAAAATCAGTCGCGATGCTAAAGTTAACTTTAGCTCATAGAAGACAGAGGGTATTGGTGGAAGGGTGTTTTTCAAACTGGAGGTCCGTGACTGGTGATGTTCCACAGGGATCCATTCTGGGACCTCTGCTGTTTGTGATGTGTATAAATGACTTAGATGACAATGTAGATGGGTGGGTTAGTAAGTTTGCAGACGATACAAAGATCAGTGGAGTTGTGGACTGTAGAAGGTTGTCAAGTGAAACAGTGGGATATAGATTAGTTGCAGACATGGGCAGAGAAATGGCAGATGGAGTTTAATTCGGGTGAGTGTGAGGTGCTGTACTTTGGGAGATCGAATGTTAAGGAAAAGTACAGTTAATGGCAGGACTCTGAATAGCATTAATGTACAGAAAGATCTGAGTTCAAGCCCATTGCTCCTTAAAAGTAGCCATGCAAGTAGAAAGGGTGGTAAAGAGGGTGTATGGCATGTTCGCCTTTATTTTGGGGAATTGAGTACAAGAGTCAGGATGATATGTTGCAGGTTTATAAGACTTTGGTTAGGCCACATTTAGAGTATTGTGTTCAATTCTGGTCACCACATTACAGGAAGGATGTGGAGGCTTTGGAGAGGGTGCAGAAGAGTTTTACCAGGATGCTGCCTGCATTAGAAGGTATGAGCTGTAAGGAGAGGCTAGAAAAACTTGGGTTGTTTTCTCTTGAGTGACACAGGCTGTGGGGAGACTTGATAGAAATCTATAAAATTGAGAGATGCATAGATAAGGCTGATCAGAATCTTTCCCCTGGAGTTGAAATGTCTAATATTAGGGTCATGCATTTAAGGTTAGAGAGGGAAAGTTCAAAGGCAAGTTTTTTTACACAGTGTAGTAGAAATCTGAAATGCGCTGCCAGGGGTGGTGGTGGAGACAGATACAGTAGGGGCATTTAACGGACTTTTAGATAAGCACATGAATATGCAAGGAATGGAAAGATATGACCAAGGGCAGGCAGAAGGGATTAGTTTCACTTGGCGCCATGTTCAGCACAACATCGTGGGCCAAAGGGCCCATTCCTATGCTGTAAGGGTCTATGTTCTATGTTTTATGTTTTTACTCCTTATCTGAGTTGTATAAGCTGAAGTAATTTGTTTCTATAAAGATGGTAGTATAATACCAACACAGTAATTTCTAATGTCACCAAAGGGTAGTGCGAGAAACTTGAATTAAAATCTAAAGAATGCACAAATGGGACAATGATTTCAATATTTTTGTCCATTCATTTGGATGAGGATTCAGAGCATGTATCTACGATATTGTTTTGAAGCTGAAGCACGAGTAGAAATTGTGTAGGTTTCACAAACATACTAACCATTATTTTGCACAAAAACAAATTGCTGGAGGAACTCAGCAGGTCTGGCAGCATCTGTGGGGAGAAAGCAGAGTTATATCTTGACTCTGGTGATCCTTCATCAGTGTTCTTCAGTGACACCTTCATCGGTGTTCTGATGAAGAGTCACTGGACTTGAAATTTCTCTCCACAGATGTTGTCAGACCTGCTGAGTTTCTCTAGCAATTTTGCTTTTTGTTTCAGGTCTCCAGCATCAGCAGTTCTTCATTTTATAATAACTGTTCCTTTGAGGATCTTCCTTTTTGTTGCTTTTATGCCAAGCGTCTGGCATTTGTGTGTGTAAGCACAGCCTTGATCACTGAAATTACCTCCTCATTCCCTTTCTTTCTTTCTCTCTCTACTGATCTTTCCTTTCAGATCCTGAAAACCTACCTCTCTCACTCATCTGTTCTGAAAACCTTTTGTTGTTTTGAATCAAAGTTATTGATAACACTCTAGTTAAGTGCCTTGGGGTGTTTTCCTTTTTTTTTGAAGGTGGTTTATAAGTGGAAGTTGTTGTTAGAGACATCATGATGGT